CCTAGAATCTATCATACCCACTCATGTACACAGATATATAAGCTCCATTCTAGCTCACACTCCTGGATCTTTGATACCATATTGACTCGATCTTTTCCTGTATTTATGGTTAGAAGGTGGCACCTAGTTTTCATTGTAGTTATTTTGGGTGTTGTCATACGTCCTTTGTAGGTGCCAGCTTTCATCTTCCCTGCCATGGAAAATGCATATATTTGTGTATCCTCATATTTTTGTGCCACACTGATCACTTAAAGGATAACAAGCGTGTTGAACATGGAGTGTAGGAAAGGGGATCCCCCTCCCAGTAACAATCCAATCTGTCATCAGGAGTGGTGCTGCTGATGTTGACTACCGCTTGCTGGCAAGACAGAAGTAAGAAGGAGCAAACACCACCATATACCGAACCAGCATAACTGCGAACATGTGGTGTGCACTGTGGCTTTGATCATTAGAGCTCCACAGTGCTTGTCTTTCCAGTGCTGTGCTAATTCACTTTATCTAATCATAACTGGTTATGCAACATCAGTCTGACTCTCAGTAGGACCTAACTCAGTGGCAACTGGAACAATTGTGGGACAGTGTGGCATCAACTCTTTTTAGGTGCTGCTTTTTTTATTTGTATCAAAACATTGGTCTGGCACAAATAAATTGTGTGTAGAACTGTGGTGGAGGCTGTCACTAGAACCGACCTGTAAAGACTAGAAGGAAGAACAGAGAATATAAAGTAGCATTGATGGTGATTTCAGATGTGTAGCTTTCTCTTCTGCAAGACACTGTTACCTTTGTTTCTTCAAAAATGAAGAATGTTGAATTCAGTGGATTAATATGCTGCTTTTAAATATAGGTGTGAGTCACTATGCTAGCTTAGCACGTATAGATCTCTCCTTAAGTTTAAATTTAGAAAGAACTATTTAAGGTGCAATATTATGCAGGTTTAGGGGCATGCTGAGAGTTGTAGATCTTTTTTCTTTCTTAACTTGCAAAAGATTATACCCATAACAAATTAACCATTAATCATTGCTGGTTAAATTGCATATACAAAAGAGCTGGTGTAATGTATTTCCTTGTGCAAGTCGGTTTTCCTTTCATCTATACCTTCCTCTCAAATTCACAATATAAGATATTCATTTATTAATTTCAGCTACCTCACAACCAAAGCTCACCAGACAGTTTACACAGTCCATAAAACAGATTATAAAAATATGATAAAATACCATAAAATCAGAAAAAATAAAACGTTTTAAACAGCTAAACATAGATAATAAGAATAAACAACAACAACAACGTCACTTTACAAAACACTGATGACGATGATGATGATGATGATGATGATGATAGGCTGAAAAGATGATAGATTCAGCACCAGCCAGTTCACTCTGGGGAGGTTATTACAGAGAATGGGGGCTACCACCTGGAAAGGCCTCTTCCTTCTTGCCATACTCCACACTTTCCTTGACTTTGGCACTTGGAGGAAGGCCCCAGAGGTTGAACACAGAGTTCAGGTAGATCACAGTTTGAAGAGGTGCTCTGATAGGTATTGCACTCCTAAGTCATTTAAGGCTTTATATGTTAAAAACAGCACCTTGAATATTGATACTGTCCTATCAAGTTGTTTTGGGAATTGTCTGTGTGAAGCTCTTAACTGATATGTATAGTTGTTATTGTTCTAATAAAAATAGAATAAATGTTTCATTTATTTACTTGAAAGGATTTTGACTGGCCCATTGAAGGGTTGCTGATTCCAAATAGTCCTCCTTTAAAGAAACCCACTGGCAAGAAGTCAAACAGCTACATGCCTTTGAGACTGAGAATTTTGAGAAATGGAGAGCAGGACGAACACAAAGCCATCTCAATCCTTGGACCTGATTACACAACTATAATGAAAAAACAGTAAGAAAAATGTTAAGTTTAATAATCAAAGAAGAACAGTAACATTTTAACATTAAATCATTTTCCTTGGAGTGTGTCTTCATTTGCAAATCTATTTACTGCTCTCAACTTCTAATTTGAAAAACTGTGCTGTATTCTCCAAAAGTAACCATCTATTTTATTTATTAATTTGTTTATTTTACATATATTTATAGGGCACCTATTGCTGAGGCCTTCCTGGGCGGCTTACAATGTAAAATATAGCGACAGTAAAAGCACATTAAAAACCAATGAAAAATAATAAATTAGACATCTATAAAAACAATTAAAAAGGGCCACAGTATACAGGCTAAATGTAAAAAAAATCCTAAAAAGATATGCAGTGACAAGGAAAACTAATTTTGCACATTAGTTTGGTGATCGTATTTGAGATTGAATGAAGTTCCTGGCTCAAGATGGTCACATGGAAACACCATGTGCACGCTGAATATAGGGATATAAATATATCATTTGCACAGTAATTCTTTTCTGAGTGGCTGCAGTTGTGCTGGTTCTGTTGCAACATGTCCTTATACAACTAGTACCTCCATATTATAACAACTGGCTGCAAGCTCTTCAGTGACTCTCATGAATGAGCACATACAGTCCAACCACCTTTGTTTTTGATTATGTTATGAGATTATCATTCATAGATATATATGGTGAATAGCTTTGTTCAGGTTTCTGCTTAACATGAGGAACTTGTCTGCAGCTACTCAGATCAATTGAGGGAGGTCTTTGTGGAATCTGGTTTCTACATATTCCTCATGTGTTTGCTGGTTATGCAGCCATATCAGCAAAGCAACAGTGTGCTCAGCTTCCAAAAAATAGAGATTATATCTCCAACTAGATGTGGTATGGCTAATGTCCCTATGGTTTGGATGGAGATCTGTGAATCTTGTAATGTGAATGGTAATGTGCATCTCTGTTCATTACATCAAGACTGTGTGGGACTGTTTCCAAGCTCAATATTTCTTATGCATATAAGCTTGTGGCATATAGTTATCTCTGAACTGATTGGAGAATTGGTCCACACACTTAAATAATATCACACTGTTCATTTGTCATCTCTTGATTTTTATTAACTGACATGTGCCATTTAGTTCAAAGTTGAACACTAGAAAGGTGATGTCACACCAAACATTGCTGTCTTAGTTCAGAAATGGGCTTGGTTCTCAGCTGATAAACCTATTTCTAACTCTTATCAACTATATTGAAGAATATGGCTGCACTGTTACCCAGACCAAAAATTGTCCCTACATATTTAAGTTGCTATCA